GCTCAATAATCAGTGGTGATTGTGGCGGCGGTAGTCAGGCGCCTTTAGTCGACCGCACTTCGGTGTACGTACCACTTGATCTGTTCAAATATTCAAAACCCAGCCAGCATCAACATTCAACTTTTCTCACTGGATAGGATGGGGCCTTCGCTTCAAGTTTATGTCCCTTGGACCCTTATGACCCCTTTTATCACACTGTTGTGCGATAAAAGATTTGTCAATTTTTCCATTCAACAATCCTCAGAGGTAATAATAATATTATCGCCTGAACACCTGCATTGAATAACGGAACTGCCGAGGCATTGCTTCTGTCCGTCTTCCTTGAAATTTCAGTCTCTGTGCACGAAGATTCTTCACCCACCTCACAACATCGGTCAATGGGAGGATACGGATTGTGAACTTGAATTGCCTTCGATTTGTCAAGCTCCTACTTCGCGTAAGTTTTCAGCTGCCACACGATTGATTTTCCGTTCATCCACCCTTTGCCGCCCCACTAAGCTGTGAAATGGTTTTTTATCCTAACGAGAATATCGTAGTCTTGGAATCGAGAAATTGAACTTATTGTAAATGTTTCCCGAAGTGCACTTCTTCCTTTACGATGCGATGTCTTTTACTGATGGTCGTATGTTAAATTAGCAACATCATCAACAACAACAAAAGCATGGTGCAGCGAAATACAGTGAAGTAAACTTCACTGATCGCTGCCAAACTCGCAATGCACGCGCCTTGGATTTTGATGGACGGGTGCTGCTAGGATGTCCAGCCATTAAGCAGGAGAACGATTACGGTTCTCAATCAAAGCTTTTAGTTCTGACAAGAGCCTTATCGTAATGCAGCGGGTGAAGCGAAATGGAGGCCCTTTTACTGGGATTAATCCACCATTTTTTACCGACTGAGACGCAAATTCTAGTTGAACCCCCAACCTGGGGGCCAGGAGACTGGAATTCGTCCGACCTCTACCCTTTGACCTTCCAGGCATAATTAGATCTTCGGCTTGACAATAGCCATCTTGTGTAGCTCGTTGGGTCCTAGAGATGCACAAGCCATCACACCACGTCAAGGTGCAGTCTCGTCGTGATGTTACACTTTTCATCTAAAAGTATTCATCGTTACTAGACGTGATCTTCTTCCAGATCAGTCGTTATGTTTCTCGATTGAGTGGCTTTGATTAAACAATTTCGGGCACTTAGCATGATGATGCGCATCGAGTTTTTGGTTACAGGCATCTTCGCCACAAAGACTGTCCCATTTCTTAATACCATACGCCTATCCCACCCGCCTTTTCCTCGAGTTCACCACTTCCAGTCCCAGGATGTGAGGCACTACTCACGTTTGTGAGTATTGTATTCGGTGTGCGCACCGGGCAGGTGATCGGTGGATTTTCAAGTCATCTGCGAGTGGATGCAACGATGTATAATTGTAACTACGGAAGGGATGAAGAGACTGTCTAGCTACCTGACGATGGATCAAGATCCTGTCATGAAGCTGCTGATGCGGATGTTTCACACCACTGTTTTGTTTTCATTCATGGTGATCTTTTATTCAACAACTTTCCTCAATCCTTCACATCCTTATTCATTTAGTATTTATATAATTGGTTTTCAGTGGCTCCCCTATCCTGTCGATCATATTGAATCGTGTGTTGGTCCTATACTTGTTCTCAGACCGGCGTAGAATATGCA